GTGACAAGCTAATATACATGATACTGACGTTAGTCTACTGTGCAGGACCTTCTTGTGACAAGCTAATATACATGATACTGACGTTAGTCTACTGTGCAGGACCTTCATGTGACAAGCTAATATACATGATACTGACGTTAGTCTACTGTGCTGGACCTTCATGTGACAAGCTAATATACATGATACTGACGTTAGTCTACTGTGCAGGACCTTCATGTGACAAGCTAATATACATGGTACTGACGTTAGTCTACTGTGCAGGACCTTCATGTGACAAGCTAATATACATGATACTGACGTTAGTCTACTGTGCTGGACCTTCATGTGACAAGCTAATATACATGATACTGACGTTAGTCTACTGTGCAGGACCTTCATGTGACAAGCTAATATACATGATACTGACGTTAGTCTACTGTGCTGGACCTTCATGTGACAAGCTAATATACATGATACTGACGTTAGTCTACTGTGCTGGACCTTCATGTGACAAGCTAATATACATGATACTGACGTTAGTCTACTGTGCTGGACCTTCATGTGACAAGCTAATATACATGATACTGACGTTAGTCTACTGTGCAGGACCTTCATGTGACAAGCTAATATACATGGTACTGACGTTAGTCTACTGTGCAGGACCTTCATGTGACAAGCTAATATACATGATACTGACGTTAGTCTACTGTGCAGGACCTTCATGTGACAAGCTAATATACATGATACTGACGTTAGTCTACTGTGCACCTTCATGTGACAAGCTAATATACATGATACTGACGTTAGTCCTTCTGGACCTGTGACAAGCTAATATACATGATACTGACGTTAGTCTACTGTGCAGGACCTTCATGTGACAAGCTAATATACATGGTACTGACGTTAGTCTACTGTGCAGGACCTTCTTGTGACAAGCTAATATACATGGTACTGACGTTAGTCTACTGTGCAGGACCTTCATGGCAGACAAGCTAATATACATGATACTGACGTTATACATCTACTGTGCTGGCACCTTCATGTGACAAGCTAATATACTAATATACATGTGCTGGATACTGACGTTAGTCTACTGTGCAGGACCTTCTTGTGACAAGCTAATATACATGATACTGACGTTAGTCTACTGTGCTGGACCTTCTTGTGACAAGCTAATATACATGATACTGACGTTAGTCTACTGTGCTGGACCTTCATGTGACAAGCTAATATACATGATACTGACGTTAGTCTACTGTGCAGGACCTTCATGTGACAAGCTAATATACATGATACTGACGTTAGTCTACTGTGCTGGACCTTCATGTGACAAGCTAATATACATGATACTGACGTTAGTCTACTGTGCAGGACCTTCATGTGACAAGCTAATATACATGATACTGACGTTAGTCTACTGTGCAGGACCTTCATGTGACAAGCTAATATACATGATACTGACGTTAGTCTACTGTGCAGGACCTTCATGTGACAAGCTAATATACATGATACTGACGTTAGTCTACTGTGCAGGACCTTCATGTGACAAGCTAATATACATGATACTGACGTTAGTCTACTGTGCTGGACCTTCATGTGACAAGCTAATATACATGATACTGACGTTAGTCTACTGTGCAGGACCTTCTTGTGACAAGCTAATATACATGATACTGACGTTAGTCTACTGTGCAGGACCTTCATGTGACAAGCTAATATACATGATACTGACGTTAGTCTACTGTGCAGGACCTTCATGTGACAAGCTAATATACATGGTACTGACGTTAGTCTACTGTGCAGGACCTTCATGTGACAAGCTAATATACATGATACTGACGTTAGTCTACTGTGCTGGACCTTCATGTGACAAGCTAATATACATGGTACTGACGTTAGTCTACTGTGCTGGACCTTCATGTGACAAGCTAATATACATGATACTGACGTTAGTCTACTGTGCAGGACCTTCTTGTGACAAGCTAATATACATGATACTGACGTTAGTCTACTGTGCAGGACCTTCATGTGACAAGCTAATATACATGATACTGACGTTAGTCTACTGTGCAGGACCTTCATGTGACAAGCTAATATACATGATACTGACGTTAGTCTACTGTGCAGGACCTTCATGTGACAAGCTAATATACATGGTACTGACGTTAGTCTACTGTGCTGGACCTTCATGTGACAAGCTAATATACATGATACTGACGTTAGTCTACTGTGCTGGACCTTCTTGTGACAAGCTAATATACATGGTACTGACGTTAGTCTACTGTGCAGGACCTTCTTGTGACAAGCTAATATACATGATACTGACGTTAGTCTACTGTGCTGGACCTTCTTGTGACAAGCTAATATACATGGTACTGACGTTAGTCTACTGTGCAGGACCTTCATGTGACAAGCTAATATACATGATACTGACGTTAGTCTACTGTGCTGGACCTTCATGTGACAAGCTAATATACATGATACTGACGTTAGTCTACTGTGCAGGACCTTCATGTGACAAGCTAATATACATGATACTGACGTTAGTCTACTGTGCTGGACCTTCTTGTGACAAGCTAATATACATGGTACTGACGTTAGTCTACTGTGCAGGACCTTCTTGTGACAAGCTAATATACATGATACTGACGTTAGTCTACTGTGCAGGACCTTCATGTGACAAGCTAATATACATGGTACTGACGTTAGTCTACTGTGCAGGGACCTTCATGTGACAAGCTAATATACATGATACTGACGTTAGTCTACTGTGCAGGACCTTCATGTGACAAGCTAATATACATGATACTGACGTTAGTCTACTGTGCAGGACCTTCATGTGACAAGCTAATATACATGATACTGACGTTAGTCTACTGTGCTGGACCTTCATGTGACAAGCTAATATACATGATACTGACGTTAGTCTACTGTGCTGGACCTTCATGTGACAAGCTAATATACATGGTACTGACGTTAGTCTACTGTGCTGGACCTTCATGTGACAAGCTAATATACATGATACTGACGTTAGTCTACTGTGCAGGACCTTCATGTGACAAGCTAATATACATGGTACTGACGTTAGTCTACTGTGCTGGACCTTCATGTGACAAGCTAATATACATGATACTGACGTTAGTCTACTGTGCAGGACCTTCATGTGACAAGCTAATATACATGATACTGACGTTAGTCTACTGTGCAGGACCTTCATGTGACAAGCTAATATACATGATACTGACGTTAGTCTACTGTGCTGGACCTTCATGTGACAAGCTAATATACATGGTACTGACGTTAGTCTACTGTGCAGGACCTTCATGTGACAAGCTAATATACATGATACTGACGTTAGTCTACTGTGCTGGACCTTCATGTGACAAGCTAATATACTAATATACATGATACTGACGTTAGTCTACTGTGCTGGACCTTCATGTGACAAGCTAATATACATGATACTGACGTTAGTCTACTGTGCAGGACCTTCTTGTGACAAGCTAATATACATGATACTGACGTTAGTCTACTGTGCAGGACCTTCATGTGACAAGCTAATATACATGATACTGACGTTAGTCTACTGTGCAGGACCTTCATGTGACAAGCTAATATACATGGTACTGACGTTAGTCTACTGTGCTGGACCTTCATGTGACAAGCTAATATACATGATACTGACGTTAGTCTACTGTGCTGGACCTTCTTGTGACAAGCTAATATACATGATACTGACGTTAGTCTACTGTGCAGGACCTTCATGTGACAAGCTAATATACATGGTACTGACGTTAGTCTACTGTGCAGGACCTTCTTGTGACAAGCTAATATACATGATACTGACGTTAGTCTACTGTGCAGGACCTTCATGTGACAAGCTAATATACATGATACTGACGTTAGTCTACTGTGCTGGACCTTCATGTGACAAGCTAATATACATGATACTGACGTTAGTCTACTGTGCTGGACCTTCTTGTGACAAGCTAATATACATGATACTGACGTTAGTCTACTGTGCAGGACCTTCTTGTGACAAGCTAATATACATGATACTGACGTTAGTCTACTGTGCAGGACCTTCTTGTGACAAGCTAATATACATGATACTGACGTTAGTCTACTGTGCTGGACCTTCATGTGACAAGCTAATATACATGATACTGACGTTAGTCTACTGTGCAGGACCTTCATGTGACAAGCTAATATACATGATACTGACGTTAGTCTACTGTGCTGGACCTTCATGTGACAAGCTAATATACATGATACTGACGTTAGTCTACTGTGCTGGACCTTCTTGTGACAAGCTAATATACATGATACTGACGTTAGTCTACTGTGCAGGACCTTCATGTGACAAGCTAATATACATGATACTGACGTTAGTCTACTGTGCAGGACCTTCATGTGACAAGCTAATATACATGATACTGACGTTAGTCTACTGTGCAGGACCTTCATGTGACAAGCTAATATACATGATACTGACGTTAGTCTACTGTGCAGGACCTTCATGTGACAAGCTAATATACATGATACTGACGTTAGTCTACTGTGCTGGACCTTCATGTGACAAGCTAATATACATGATACTGACGTTAGTCTACTGTGCTGGACCTTCATGTGACAAGCTAATATACATGATACTGACGTTAGTCTACTGTGCAGGACCTTCATGTGACAAGCTAATATACATGGTACTGACGTTAGTCTACTGTGCAGGACCTTCATGTGACAAGCTAATATACATGATACTGACGTTAGTCTACTGTGCTGGACCTTCATGTGACAAGCTAATATACATGATACTGACGTTAGTCTACTGTGCAGGACCTTCATGTGACAAGCTAATATACATGATACTG